TGTGACATGCTTATATCATATCTAAAGGCAAGGTTGTAAAAAACGGTAATCGGATCGGAGGCGGTCAGGCACCGACTCACGATTAATCGGTGAGACAGGGATTAATCGACAATAAAGCGGTAATAAATCAGTTTTTAAAACTTAATATAATATATTTCTAGATATTATTTATAAATACTCAAAGCATATATAAAAATATATTTAAAACATAATTATATGTCCATCATATATATATATATATATATATATATATATATATATATATATATATATATATATATATATATATATATCCTAATACCATAATAAAATTTTGATAATAAAATATTCTTATAAAATATAAATAAAAAGGCAAATTTTTTGAATTTACATTTTTTTTTTTAAGTCCTGGCATACATCATTAATTTTTTAACAATAACAATTATCATGAACAAAATAAAACATAAACTCATATTTTTTTAATAAAATCCCAACTTTTATTTTGAATTACAAAAAAAAAAAAACCAATTTTTGACTGATTTTTGCCATCGAGTTTGACCCGTCTTAAAGGTTTGGTCACCTCGGACCGCCTCACAGGCAAAACTCGATTTTTCAAACCTTTACACTAAAATCGTAAAGGTTTTGGACCGCCTCCGCCTCGGAGACCGATTAATCGGCCGGCTCGACAGATTTTTAGAACACTGTCTACTGGTGAAAATATTTTATGAAGCATGAAGTGAAGTGAGACTGTATCAAACAAGAACCACATTTCAAAAAACTAAAGACAAACATTATTGTATCAGATAAATGCGAGGGAAAATTAATTGATTTATGGTATCTGTAACAACAAAAGTTATAATATATATTTTTCTCGACAATAATACAGATTTACGTACATTGGTCTCGACAGTAATACAGATTTACATACATTCGTTGTTGTTTTACTTGGAGGCAAAATCCATCATATATTCGACGTCGTTTCTCCAATCTCTTCCAACGTAAATCGTAATGGTCTGCACATCACAAGGAACTCACATTAAGAACGAAATAAAGAAAAAATAGGAGCTCCGACATATTTTACACCAAGAAAGAGATCACGTTATAGAGCTTAATTTTAATCGAATCGAACAAAGAAAACAAAGAATCTTTCAATACTATGCAATAAGAACTTTCAAGAAGTAGACAGTTTTCAGACGTTTAAATCGAATATGAGAAAACATCCAGGAAAAATTATAGAAAATTCGACATTTCGAATAAAAACGAAATCAGGTAAAAAAAAACACTTGTAATGATTCATTACCTACAAGGGCAGAGGGGTGCACCAACGTATCTTTGTGTTCTGCTAATCCCTGCAAACATAAGCGTGGCCGAATAAACATTCAAACGATAGTTGTAACTAATAATCACCAAATTCCTTCGTAAATCATTTCGCAGCAAAATTAAATATTGATCCAAATTTCTTCGAGTTTATTTGAAGTAGCAATAAAACTCACTTATTAGGAGTAATACAGTTAAGTGTTGGGGAATTTCAGAGGGATTATAACAGAAATATTATTATTTCCACCCAAATTAAGATCTAGATAGGGTTTAATTATAGGGTTAATACATTTATCATGATCTAACAGAACACTAAATTGAAGAATATGATGCAAATAAAAAATAAAGAATTCCTGAAAATTTAGAAAACGTAACTGAAAATAAATTCATAGTTTTCTGATGTGTGGGTCCCGTCACCGAGCCAGCTTCCAGGGCGATAAGGAAGGTGCAATTGCTATTGTAAAACCCTTGTCTTGTTCATTTCTTCTGATATGGGCTAGTTTGTCACCACTCTAGCAGGCCCGGCACAAGCATGGTTCGGTCTATTACCTGCCGGAACCATCCGATCTTTTGAACAACTTGCCAAAGCTTTCATGAACCAGTTCGCTAGTTCGAAGAAGTGTAAGAAGACCTCTCTGTCACTATTCAGCGTTCGTCAGAAGGAGAAAGAAAGTCTCAGAAACTATATCAGACGATTCACTTCGGCCACCTTGGAAGTCCCCACTACCAGCGACGAGGTGCTCATGGCAGCTCTTTCGCAAGGACTGAGAGATGATGAGTTTTTCCGAGCTTTGGCGCTGGAACCTTCGCCCGATTTTGACCATCTCCTAGAGAGGGCGTCTAGGTTCATTAACTTAGAAGAAGCCCGGCAGCAGAAAGTAGAAAAATCTCACCAACCCGTAAACGCACGAGCCAACGAAGTAAAAAGAGTCAAAGAACCACTGTTACCTCGAAGGGATGCTAGTACCCCCGGCCGAGGCGTAGCCTCGGACGCTAAGGGATCACGATTCCAATCGTATCAACCCCTTACGGCTCCTCTGTCCCAGGTGTTGTACGCGATCGAAAAGAGAGCTGATCTGCGATGGCCTAGGACCGCTCGCGGAGCCCCCCGTCGAGATCCGACATTGGGCACTTTTTGCCGTTTTCATAACGAATACGGACACACGACCGACGACTGCGCACATCTGAAAGACGAAGTGGAACGTCTCATCAGAGACAACAAGATCGGGGATTTTGTGAAGATAGATTCACCTCGGGGACAGAAGCGGGAAGCCCAGTTTGGAAATCCGCCACGAGCACCGCCCCCGCCGCCAGCGCCGAAGAGAGGGTACATTCAGATGATTTCAGGGGGCCCTACGGGAGGAGATACTCATCGGGCTAGGAGACGTCATCTCGGTAGCCTCAAAAATAATCATGAAGTTTGCCAAATCTCTACACCAAAGTATCGCCAATATCCCACTATCTCGTTTGGTCCTGAAGATAAAGCGGACCTAGACGATTTCCATTGTGACCCTCTCCTCATCACGATTAACGTTGGAGGGTACGACGTCGCTCGCGCCTTCGTTGATCAAGGAAGTTCGGTGGATGTCATATCCTACGAGTGCTTCCTACAAATGGAGCTCGACCTCCCGGTTTTCCCCGTCACCACACCGATATTTGGGTTCACTGGAGGGTCCCTGACGCCGGTGGGACAAGTCAAAATCCCTGTCACTATAGGAACTCCACCTCGAACACGCACTCAAACTGTCAATTTTGTCATCGTCGAAGGGTCGCCAACCTCGTATAACATCGTGATCGGACGACCAATGTTACATGCCTTTCGGGCGGTCCCTTCGACCATTCATCAAAAGCTTAAGTTCCCAGTTGATGGGATGGTGGGAGAGGTCAGGGGCGACCAAACCCAATCGAGATCATGCTATGTCGAAATGGTCAAGATAGCAGAGAAAGGCCGACGCGATACCCTCACCAAAGAAGACTTGGGAGACGAGAAGCGTCCCCGAGTTGACCCAGAGGATAAAGTTAATCATGTACAACCTATGGACGAATTGATGACAATCGACCTCGTCCCCGGAATGATGAAACAAACCCGGATAAGTAAGGATTTAGAACCACCTCTTCGGGACGAGTTGATAGCGCTATTGCGGTCTAATGAAGATGTTTTTGCTTGGCAACCAAGTGATTTGACCGGTATATCGCCGCGAACTGCTGTACACAGGCTTAATTTACGACCCGAGTGCAGGCCCGTCAAGCAAAAACGGCGACACTTCGGTACCGAAAAAGACGAAATCATACAGAAGGAAGTTCAACGACTTCTGGAAATCGGACACATCCGGGAAATTCAGTTCCCTACATGGCTGTCCAATGCGGTGTTAGTACAGAAAGCCAATGGCCAATGGCGAATGTGTATCGATTTCAGGGACTTAAATAAGGCTTGCCCGAAAGATGATTATCCTTTACCTCGCATAGATCAGCTTGTAGATGCCACTGCTGGATGCGAGCTACTTAGTATGATGGATGCCTCGCAAGGATACCACCAAATTCCGCTAGACGAAAAGGACCAGCCAGCAGTAAGTTTTGTCACTGCCACGGGGACTTACTGTTACGTGGTGATGCCTTTCGGCCTGAAAAATGCAGGAGCCACGTATCAGCGATTGATGGACAGGATGTTTCGGGCCCAACTCGGACGCAACATTGAGGTGTATGTCGATGACATGTTGGTTAAAAGCAAGAGGCGCTCTACGCATCTCGCAGACCTAGCTGAGACCTTTGCAACTCTTCGTTTATATGGAATGAAGTTAAACCCTGCTAAGTGTGCATTCGCAGTACAAGCTGGAAAGTTCCTGGGATACATTGTTAATCGGGAAGGCATCAAGGTAAACCAAGATAAAGTGGAGGCCGTACTTCAGATGACACCTCCTCGTTCCATCAAGGAAGTCCAATCCTTGGCAGGAAAAGTTGTAGCCCTAGCTCGGTTTATATCGCGAATGGCTGATAAGAGCCTGCCTTTCTTCAAAGTACTAAGGAAAACAGCTCAGTTCGAATGGACCACCGAATGCCAGCTCGCATTCGAGGCGTTAAAACGATCTCTTACTTGCCTGCCGATTCTTAGCACCCCTGAAAAGGGTGAAACCCTGTTTGTGTACTTGTCAGTAGGCGATGAGTCCATCAGTTCGGTTTTGTTTAAGGAAGTTAATAATCAACAAAGACCGATCTACTATACTAGTAAGATCCTCACTACATCGGAAAGCCGATATTCTGAAGTCGAGAAAATAGCATACGCGCTGGTCCTCACTACGCGACGACTCCGGCCTTATTTCCTGTCGCATACCATGGTGATTCGCACAAGCTTACCTCTTCGGCAGACTCTAGGTCAGCCTACCGCATCAGGACGAATTGTTAAATGGGCCATCGAGCTGGGACAGTACGAGATTCAATATCAACCCCGTACCTCGGTCAAAGGACAGGCGCTGGCGGATTTCATCCGAGAAACCACCAGGATACCCATCGAAAAAGAGTGGAAAATTTACGTGGATGGTTCATCCACAACCTCGGGAGCGGGGGCAGGGATAATAGTTATTGATCCCACTGGAACGGAGGTCGAGTTTGCCGTTAGGTTACCTCGGGTTTCCAATAATGAAGCAGAGTATGAAGCCTTTATCCGAGGTATGGAGATCGCTCAAGAGCTCGGAGCGCGAGTGGTGCGAATATACTCCGACTCTCAATTGGTAATACACCAACTCGAAGGGGACTACGAAATAAAAAACGATAGGATGAAGAATTATGTAAATAAAGCCCGAGCTGTGAAAGAAACCTTTGAAGTCTGTACCATGCATCAAATTCCGAGAAGCGACAACCAGCGAGCTGACTTCCTCGCTAAAGTCGGGTCGTCAGTCGTCGATTGTATTGAAAGAAAGATCACTATCCTTATTGCCCCTACCCCAACACCGGGTATAATGGTAATAGACGAAGAGCCCGACTGGAGAACGCCTTTGTTCAAATACTTCAGAGGAGAGCGAACTGGCACCAAGAGAGAGCAGCACCGCTTGGCATATAAGGCAAGGCACTTTTACGTACGGCATGGGATATTATACAAGAGAAACTTCACCACAGTAGATGCAAGGTGTCTGGGAAAGCAGGAGATAAAGCATGTTCTGGATGAAGTACATCGAGGTGGTTGTGGTGAGCACGGAGGAGCTCGGGCCCTAATGCAGAAATTACATCGGGCCGGATATTACTGGCCTGGCATGAAAAAAGACACGCACCGATATGTTCAACACTGCGTACAATGCCAAAAATATGCCTCGCTCATCCACAAACCGGGGGAGGAAATGACCATCATGAGTGCTCCATGCCCTTTCGCCCAATGGGGAATCGACCTGGTGGGGCCATTCCCTCAAACCACGGGTCGGAAAAAGTTCATCATTGTCGCGGTAGACTACTTTACTAAGTGGGTTGAAGCTGAAGCCTTATCGAAAATCTCAGAAGACGAGGTCATGCACTTCATTTGGAAAAATATCTGCTGTCGGTTTGGCCTACCTCGAAGCCTTGTATCGGACAACGGCACTCAGTTCAACGGCAAGAAAATTCGAGCGTGGTGCGAAGAGATGAAAATTGCACAAAAATTTGTAGCAGTAGCGCACCCCCAGGCCAATGGACAAGTGGAGTCCGTAAACCGGACCATCGTCAATGGGTTGAAAAAAAGGTTAGACGAGCTAGGTGGAAGTTGGGTAGACGAGTTGCCCTCCGTCCTCTGGTCTTACCGGACCACAACCAAAGCAGCTACTGGCGAAACACCGTTCCGGCTAACCTATGGAACCGAAGCAGTTATACCGGTCGAAGTGGCAATGGACACGCTCCGCATCGCCGCATTTGACGAAGCAACAAACAATGATGCATTAAGATCACAGCTGGACGAAGTTTTTGATCTCCGGGAAACGGCGTATTTGCACATGGAAAGAAGTAAAAACTTGATCAAAGCTCGATATGATCAGGGGGTGCGGTCCCGCTCATTCCAGATCGGCGACCTCGTCTTGCGACGAGCTGACGCGCTAAAACACACGGGAAAGTTGGAGGCTAATTGGGAAGGACCATACACAGTCACCAGGTGTTTGGCCGGCGGAGGGTATGAGTTGGCAGACATCAACGGGAAGCCGTTACCTCGGGCTTGGAACATAATACATCTAAAACGCTTCTTCGTGTAAAAAAAAAAAAAAAAAAAAAAAAAAAAAAAAAAAAAAAAAAAAAGAGAGAGAAGCAGGTAGTCAATAAAATTGAGACACACCTTGTACGCACAAGAAACCATTAATAGACATCCATTTTCCGATCTGGGCTAGGCCCCGTGGTTTTTTCTCTCCTTATCTGGAGGGTTTCCACGTTAAAAAAGTACTTGTGTTATTTACTTAAGTTATAACTGTGGCGTTAACTCGCGTGTTTTATTGTGGCGTTAACTCGCGTATTCTACTGTGGCGTTAACTCGCGTGTTTTATTGTGGCGTTAACTCGCGTATTCTACTGTGGCGTTAACTCGCGTGTTTCATTGTGGCGTTAACTCGCGTGTTTTATTGTGGCGTTAACTCGCGTGTTTCATTGTGGCGTTAACTCGCGTGTTTTATTGTGGCGTTAACTCGCGTATTCTACTGTGGCGTTAACTCGCGTGTTTCATTGTGGCGTTAACTCGCGTGTTTTATTGTGGCGTTAACTCGCGTATTCTACTGTGGCGTTAACTCGCGTGTTTCATTGTGGCGTTAACTCGCGTGTTTTATTGTGGCGTTAACTCGCGTATTCTACTGTGGCGTTAACTCGCGTGTTTTATTGTGGCGTTAACTCGCGTATTCTACTGTGGCGTTAACTCGCGTGTTTCATTGTGGCGTTAACTCGCGTGTTTTATTGTGGCGTTAACTCGCGTGTTTTATTGTGGCGTTAACTCGCGTATTCTACTGTGGCGTTAACTCGCGTGTTTCATTGTGGCGTTAACTCGCGTGTTTTATTGTGGCGTTAAATCGCATGTTTTGTCAAAGGAAATAACAGCCGAAGACTAAGCTCAAAACACAAAGCAAACTATTGAAAACGAAAACAGTTTGCTGAGATCGGGTTAACTCAAGTTCAGAAAATACTCTGCCAAAATTACTAATCATCCTCGAAACACAAAGTAAAAGCAGCCCTGGCGCACCAGATAAACGAGGTGGAGACAAGTAAAGCACTTTAATACATTGAAAACATTGACAAAACGAAGTAAATTGTTCAAAATATAGAAGGAAAATGCAAGTACATGGTACAAGGAATAAAATACAAGAATTCAAGTACAGGAACAAATGAAAAACGATTAAGTGTTTTTGGGAGATTCCACCCCGGCTTCGCCTTGATTCCCGGCAGACGGAGGAGGAGACGAGATGAAGCCCGACGGCGCTTTGTTGAGGCCTGCCATCGCATCAATAGTTTCAACGTCCCCAACTAAGTCAGTAATGATCACCGAAGAGCTCCCTTGGCGAGAGAAGTCTTCGACAAGCTCCCGGTGTACTTGCCTCCACCACTCTAAGTCAGGGTCTTCGTTCACGTCCCCTTCAAAACCCGGAATCACATCATCCGGTAGGTCTTCGGCAAGCTCATTTTCGACTAGCGGGAACTCGATGCCAGCACCGCTCAGTCGCTTCCGCACGGCTTTCACCGCCTCCGAGAAAAAGAAGCGAGCTAAACCGGAGGCTTGCCGGGTGAACGTCGTCGAACGCCACAGCCGATCGAAGAAACGACTGACAAACGCCTCCATAAACCGGAGACCTTCAGACGACCCCGGGAACAATCTGTGCCCTTCTTTCACTCCTTCGGTGAAATTGGCAGACGCCTGCACCCCAGCGGCAAAGAGCTCGTTCGAAAGTTGCTTCGCTTTTTCCTCCAAAGTAGCATTGTGAGATGCTAGGGAATTCTTCTCCGCCTGCGAAGTTTCCTCTTTCTCCTTCAGCTTCTTTACTTCGGCAAATAACCCCTCTTTTGCCGACTCAGCCACCGATAGACTCTCCTTTAAAGCCCGGACCTCTTTCCGGAGCTGGACAACCTCCTTCCTCTGGTTATCATACGCCTCACGAGAAACGTCGTCCCATCCCAGAGGACCCGAAAAGGCAATGGCGAATTGCTGCACATACAAGAGACTTGAGTGAAATAGATTGGTTAAGAGCGTAAAAATAACTCATGTATGCGAGCTGGAACTAACCTGGGTTATGTTATGAAGAAGCAACTCAAGCCGATCACCCTTGCTCATTTGCCCGAAGTGGGCAACGTCGCGAGGTAGCGCCATAGCCCGGCAAGCAGCGATAGCGTTCTCTGCGTTTTGACAGAGATGGAGGGCGAAGTTAGGAGGCAGAGACGGCCCCACTTGCCCTGGAGCTGACCCAGTCTGCCCCGGAGTTGACCCGATCAGCCCAAGGGCCAGATCAGCCCTTCTCTTCTTCGTGGTGGGCTCTTTTTCCACCTGTTCTTCGGTCGAAGAAGGTGGTGGGGGAGGAACGGCAACTATGGCCGAAGATTGACGAGGGAGCTCGGGCCCCTCCACGCGCGGCTCACTTCGGGAACGCGAAGTCCCAACATTTTTCTTAGAAGGCCTCTGTCTTAGGGCTCCCTCTTCGGGGGACTTTCTCTCGGAATCAGCAACCACGGGGCGCTGAAATTCAGACGCCTGAAATTCCGGCTCTGACTCGGACGGGCGAGTCGCCGGCTTCTCACCTCGGAACATTCTCTTCATCCTTAAATCTGTTAATGGGATCAAGGAGAGTGTGGTCAGCAAGTATACAATACCTCGGCAAGCATAAAATACAGCCAAGTAAAAAGCCACAACCCAAAACGAATGACGAATTATAGCAGAAAACTAGTATCATGCTTAAACCCACCTAAATCCTCTTGAGTTAAGGGATGAGTGCCGTTGTCATGGAAGCAGAAGTGGCGAAGTATCGGTGGAAAACTGGTAAGAGTCTCAGGCATACCATAACTTGGTTGAAAGTGAACAATCATTTTCAAGAGCCACTCGTCTATCGCTAGGGGTTTCCCCCTCCGCTTGTCAGGTAAAGTGGCGAACCAAGGACACAGGTAAGGAGTATCAGCGGGGTTTTTCGGGAAGAAATAATGACCCTGCCACCCATCAGTTTTGTTGGGTGGCATTAATATTTTGAAACCCGGGCGAGCCGAGATAGAAATATGAAAAGGACTGGAATTTTTCAAAACCATCACACTCCGGAATCGAGCTGGAGTAGGGACCACACCAGACCAGACGCAAAGCATGCGAAACCCGGTCATGACGACTATGGCGTGCGGATGAAATTGATTGAGGGACACATTGCATAACTGAGCAATCTCGGAAAACCAAGGTGAGATGGGGAAAGTAAGACCGAAATAAAACTGTTCTGAGAACCAGGTGCTGAAACCCGGGGGTGGGTTTAGGGGACGCTGATCTCGCGAAGGCAACAATAGTTCTACGTCAGTAGGAAGGCCTATATCGCGAACTAAATTGTCTAAATCTACCTCGCTTAAAGTGCTGGGCCCCCACTGGTCGTCTAAATCGCGTCCCTCAGACAGCGAAGGAGAGCCGCTCCTTGCGGAAGACAAAACGTCATCTCTTCTTTTTCTCTTCGGTTTTTTCAGTAATTTACCCGAAGGGGAAAAATAGGGCCCTTCTTCCGATGAAGAAGAAAGAGTAAGGGTAGGGTGTTCATCTCCCTCTCTGGAGGGCATTTTTTGACCAAAAGGGTCGGGAGAATTGGAAGACATAGGCTAAGAATAGTAAAAAGTAGGGTGAAAAGGGGAGTACCTTTGTCGAAGAAGAAAACAAGCACGGATAGGAAAGAACTTGGTTCTCGAGGAGCAAAGTCGCCGGAGGTAAACAAGGATAAGGAGAGCGTAGAGGTGAAGAAGAGGAAAAAATTCTGAAAATTCGTGGAAGTCAGATATTTATAGGAGGAGGAAAAGTGGAAACTCTGATCACAACCGTTTATTCGGACGGGCGAGATTCAAAGTAGGTCGCCTCGAATTCGGCGCAAGAAGTGTCGATTGGACTCCCCTAGTAATGACCTAGGAAAGAGAAAAAATCAATCATAACCGCCCACCCGAACGGACAAGATTTAATGCAGATTACCTCGAACCTAGCGCGAAAAACGTTGATGGAAATCTTCTCATGATGACCTAGGGAACTTGAACCAACCACGCGGGGTGTCAGAGCAATTAATGAAAGGGAAAGGACGAGGGGCTGTGTACGCCGACGTAAATCTAAATCGAAGTGCGAACTAATGCCTCATACTCCGTACTTATAAAACGAAGTAAAGAAAAAACCGACTTGTTTTATAAATAAGGAGTAGGGGGGAGTAGTTGATATGGGCTAGTTTGACAAATAACAAATAAACATAAGCCCATTAGGGTAAGCCCAATATGATAGGCCCATAATGAAGAACCCATGATGCCTTAGCTCGGTCCTATGAGCGAAGTCGTCGTATGGCGCGAACCTCGGAACTACGTGGGAGTACCTTAACTCGCTAGCCCAATACCAAAACGAGGTAAGGCGAGCCCAGGACAATACAGGCCCAAGATACATGACTTGGGGGAAAAGAGAAACCCTAAAAAAGGAAAGCCTTGAAGGCCAAGCTTTCCTCATCTATAAATAAGAGAATCAACACACACACACACAGGAGATTTTTACACTAATCACTGTTACATTACATACACGTTTTTTCCTCTATTCCGATCACTGACTTGATCGTCGGAGCTTTCCCGCCGGGAACCCCTCCCGGCGTTGCAGGTTTATTCACCGGAGTACGGACGGAGCTGGCTTGAGGAAGACGAAGACCTACGGACAAAATCATCTTCTAAGAGACATTTTCTCAAACAGTTGATCTGCAAACGAGTTGGACTCAGTTATCCCACCAGTTCAACTCAGTGTCCGACCTAGTTCAGCATCCGAGTTAAGCAACTCCACCCAGTCAACTTCCTCGTTCTCCTCATCTTTATCACTCATCACCTCCATTATTTTCTTCTCTCCCTCCTTATCGGCCGCGCTCCGAATTTCCGCCACCTCTCTCAGCACCTCCTCCGCCGCCGCCTCCTCCTTAGCCAGCCCCTTAAACCTCAATCCGCCGTAACTCAGCCCATAAACCGCCGCCAAAACTCAACAGACACGCCCTCATTCAGCATCGCCGTCGTCCCCTCCCAAATTACACAGAATCGAAATCGCCCGACCCGAATTCACCATGCCTAGAAGAATCTGGACGGATCAGAGCTTGACCATCTTGACCCGGTTGCTCTGTACTAAAGAGAGGTGGTATAGAGCCATCGCCGAGTCCGATCCGAGTCAGACCTGAGCGCGTGGAGCAGTGGAGACAAACTGAAAATTGCACCGGCTGCATGGTCCTGCGATGCAGCTGATCCGCCCCTTACAACGTCGATCAGGGGCGAAACGATTCCCGACCGTAGGATCTTCACCTTGTTTTATTTCTCTAAGGACAGGTTCACCAAAGCCGCGACGTGCAGATAAAGATTAATTGAATTTGATTTTGGATTAATAGCCAAAAATATTAAAAACTAGAAATTATTCAATAATATGTACTTCATAAAAATGGTAAACAATACCAAAAAGAACTTTTGTATGGGAATTCTATAAAATCTAAATAATAAAAAAAATATTAGATTCCAAATTTAAATTCTTGAGTTAGAAAATTATAAAAATAATTCTAAATGTCATTTATTTGAAATGCCCAAATTTAAATTTCTTGAGTTAGAAAATTATGAAACTAACTTTTTAGTAGTTTATAGTAATAAGGGCAAACATGTAATTGCGTATTCAACGATATTAAATGATATTAAATTTGTAAAGGTTGATGACAAGTGTAGGGACTAATTTGTCGCATTTGATAGTTTGGAGGGTCATTTTGATAATATCCACTAGTAGTCTAGTACGGGTGTAAACTGTACACCTAAAAAAGAAAAAGAATGGGCCAAGCCCACGTGCCCAATAAACATGGTAAATATCACCACTTGTTTTTTAGTAATTAAAGATATTATATCCTCGCCATGAGCTAGGAGAGTTAGTACTTAATCTTTATCAATAGGATAACGGTTTAGGGTTCGAGTCCCCCTCCCCTGGTTTAGGGTTCGAGTCCCCCTTCCCTACTTTCCTTTATAATGGATTTGAATTTACTCAAAAAAGAAAAATTATCGTAAAAGAGTTCGCTCAGATGTCAACAACACATGACGGTCAAGAACGTTTAACAGCGAACAAGATAGGAATACGAGTTCGACGGCGTGATAATAAACAGTAAAAAGCAAAAAATTGTTTATTTGTTTATTTTGTATGGGTCGTTTTTGTCGTGGGAAATTTGGAATTTTACAAAGATAGATGCATGCTTGCAAATTTTGTTGATTATGAGTACATTTGTAACTCTTTTCATTGATTTTTTTATGAGAAATAGTTGAAATTAAGATGATTTATGGATCATATTGTAACACTTTTCATTGATTTTTTTATGAGAAATAGTTGAAATTAAGATGATTTATGGATTATATTATAACTCTTTTCATTGATTTTTTATGAGAAATAGTTGAAATTAAGATGATTTATGGATCTTATTTTAATCGTTCCCTTATCTACTTTTCTTCCAATACAAGACTTCCGATACAATCGCCATGTCTATATATAATTATGTTCCGGCTGAGTTTGCATACACCCTAACGTCCATGTGGTGGGACATCGAAAATTGTTCCATTCCAAAGGATTTCAACAACTATGCCGGTATTTTCGGAAATATAAAAGCAGCCCTCAGACGTGCAAAAAAATGATCGATGCCATAATCAAAGTAAAGTAGTTGATTAAGGCTATATAGAATTTTACAATCTCCCTATCGCCGTTGGATTCATAATGAGATTCATCGACCGTCTTTCATGTCGCATTTTGCTTCTCAAAACAAGAGACTAAAAACCACAAAATCATTATGCCTCAAAACAATTTGTAAGCTGATTTCTTTAAAGCTTGTATTTTCATAAATGAGGCTATGGAATAACCATATAATAAATAAAATCAACATGACCACATCAGTGTATCAAAATAACCATATAATAAATAAAATCAACGTGACAACAAGAGATTCTAGACATCTTAGAATAAATAAATATTTTGAAACTTCATAAAAGTATTCACAGAAATAAATAAATATATAAATGTGAAAAAACATCAGTGGATCAACTAGAGATTCTAGACATCTTGAAATAAATAAATAAAAAAGAACAAAAAAAAAAGAAATAAATAAATAAATAAATAAATATTTTGAAACTTTATAAGAGTATGCACAGAAATAAATAAATATATATATGTTAACATGCTTATATCATATCTACGCTTATATCATATCTACAGGCAAGGTTGTAAAAAGCGATAATCGGATCGGAGGCGGTTAGGCACCGACTCACGATTAATTGATGAGGCGATGATTAATCGAAAATAAATCAGTTTTTAAAATTTAATATAATATATTTCTAGATATTATTTATATATACTCAAAACATATATAAAAATTTATTTAAACATAATTATATGTCCATCATGTTTTATA